ATCATTAAACTGGATCTGGTCCTGAGTTTAAGTAATCATTTCACTGGCTGTAAAATGTATCAACCTTGACTTTAAGCTAATTGATTTTAACCGGTGCACATGCCTTAGTTATTACCTACATGTTATATAAAGACAACCTTTTTCTGATTATGATACATCTTCATGTCACAGACCAAAATAAATTCCAGATGGATTAAAGATTTACTAAAAAAAACAAAAACAAAAACAAAAACAACCCATAAAAATACTAGAAGAAATTGTAGATAACCTCTTAATTTAACTTAATTTTTAATTTAACTCAGATTTAAAGGCAGTGAGGTAAGGTATATTCTAACTTTAAAATAAAATAAAGCTTATAATTTGAAGTTATTTTTTAACCAATGGTAAAAATCTTGCAGGATTTTTAATCATTTCTAATCTAATTAGCAACAGAATTCAAGAAAAATAATGCTTAGAGAAGAATATGAGATACAAAAATATTAGTTGATAAAAATGCTAAAATGATCTTTCTAGATTCTTGACTACACTTAGAAATAAAAGGCTGGACAGAGTATGCCTGGAGAAGCTGGCTCTATTGTATAGAATACTTCTATTAATATTGAATCAGTTGGGTGCCTTTCTACATACTAAAAGCCTTAGGAAAAAAATGGCCCATTTATGCGATACTTGAGAGAGAGTTTAAAGATGTCAAAGTCTTCTCAGGAAGAGAAAAAAAATATATCTTAGTTATATTAAGCCATTTAGCTATTCATTATATAATTTACTCGTGAATTAATTTCTACACATATTTTTGCCATATTATTAGTGAACATATGAAAATTTTTTCTTTATTGGTCAAAAGTGGTTAAGTAAATATAATTTCATATGGTTCAACCTAATATAATTGACTTTTCAACTTTCTGAGCCCCTTGGAATCTTCTAGAAAAAATGATGATACAGAACAGGACAATTTCCACCAGAGTCAGCATACAGAACTGCTAAGAAAATTAAATCTCTGAAAAGTTGCTTCTTAGAATCTTAAACCACTTTAAGGTGCTGATGCTTAGAATCCTGAAGTCGATACCACTTCATAGATAAAAGGGACTTTTAAAAAGTATTTAGAAATAAAAGCATTTAGAAATAAGATAAACCATTAGCTACAAATGATTTATTGTAAAAAAAAAAAAACTAATGTGATTTGTACTCATTTAAAATTTGCAATTATAGTGAAAAGAAGTACATACATTTATGTACATGGAGTATATTCAATAAATTAGTAACTCAACCTCAGCAGTGCTTTTATGGGAAATATTATAAACACATCATGCAATTCACTATAGGTTAGAAACAATAAAGGAATATTAAAGAATTTTTTAGAAACAGATCTTACCTATCTGATTTCTGCCTGCAGAATAAAATGCATTGACTACAGCTGCTCCACTTATCCACCTATAGAAAACATAAGAACTTGTTACAAAGGATACTGCATTATATGATTCAATCCGCTCACCACAATAAAAGCATTGTTAATATTCCTAGATAGATCTTAAACTTTCTTTTTGAAATATGATCAACAAATTAAAATTAGCTCGGTAGGTGAGGAAGCTCCTTTGAAGGCATTTCTACTTCTTGACAAATCAGAATATATACAGGTCTATAATCTGTTATTTCATTTCCATGAATTTTTATGGAGACATCAGACAGTACAAAACCCATTTAAATGTATCTCTTTGGAAAATGCAATGGATTAAGATTATATTGAAATGTGTTCAGCTTTATGTTCCTGATACTAGGTAACTATGACCAACAATTCTGGAGCAGTTGGCAAAATATTGAAATAGAAGTAGTAAAAATTTCAGATTCTAGTATATTTAAAATTTTTTTAATTCCTAGTTTACAAAAAGAGTTTTTGGAGTAGTTAGCTTCAGGTGACATGCCTCCAATTATTATCATTTAAAATTATTTTTTAAAAAGAGACATTCAAACTAATTGCACAAAAGTATATTTTTGTATGATAACTGCAAAATGAAATCCAGGTGATTCTTAAATAGATTCATCTGTCTGTATACAATGACTTAGGCTCCGTATAGAATCTACAGATCTTATAAAACAAAACTTCTGACTTCAGAAGACACTACTTTAATTGAGGAGAGGAGAAAGATGGATAAATAGCTATAATACAAAAAAGAATTTTAAAATTAAAAAAAAATCTCCTAGACAATAATTCAAGGGTAGCATTAAGTTAAAGAATGGATGCCAATGTTTCCTTGTCTTTTTTGCTCAGATGTTATTAGGCCTGCATATCGATAATCATAATCAAACAATTTTGTGCACCAAGATTAATATTTCCAACTTAATAGACTATTTTATATATATCTATATATATATCTCTCTCTATATAGAGAGAGATATATATATCTATATATCTCTCTATATATATCTCTATATCTCTATATATCTCTCTATATAGAGAGATATATATATCTATATATATCTCTCTATATATCTCTATATCTCTATATATCTCTCTATATAGAGAGATATATATATCTATATATATCTCTCTATATATCTCTATATCTCTATATATCTCTCTATATAGAGAGATATATATATCTATATATATCTCTCTATATATCTCTATATCTCTATATATCTCTCTATATAGAGAGATATATATATCTATATATATCTCTCTATATATCTCTATATCTCTATATATCTCTCTATATAGAGAGATATATATATCTATATATATCTCTCTATATATCTCTATATCTCTATATATCTCTCTATATAGAGAGATATATATATCTATATATATCTCTCTATATATCTCTATATCTCTATATATCTCTCTATATAGAGAGATATATATATCTATATATATCTCTCTATATATCTCTATATCTCTATATATCTCTCTATATAGAGAGATATATATATCTATATATATCTCTCTATATATCTCTATATCTCTATATATCTCTCTATATAGAGAGATATATATATCTATATATATCTCTCTATATATCTCTATATCTCTATATATCTCTCTATATAGAGAGATATATATATCTATATATATCTCTCTATATATCTCTATATCTCTATATATCTCTCTATATAGAGAGATATATATATCTATATATATCTCTCTATATATCTCTATATCTCTATATATCTCTCTATATAGAGAGATATATATATCTATATATATCTCTCTATATATCTCTATATCTCTATATATCTCTCTATATAGAGAGATATATATATCTATATATATCTCTCTATATATCTCTATATCTCTATATATCTCTCTATATAGAGAGATATATATATCTATATATATCTCTCTATATATCTCTATATCTCTATATATCTCTCTATATAGAGAGATATATATATCTATATATATCTCTCTATATATCTCTATATCTCTATATATCTCTCTATATAGAGAGATATATATATCTATATATATCTCTCTATATATCTCTATATCTCTATATATCTCTCTATATAGAGAGATATATATATCTATATATATCTCTCTATATATCTCTATATCTCTATATATCTCTCTATATAGAGAGATATATATATCTATATATATCTCTCTATATATCTCTATATCTCTATATATCTCTCTATATAGAGAGATATATATATCTATATATATCTCTCTATATATCTCTATATCTCTATATATCTCTCTATATAGAGAGATATATATATCTATATATATCTCTCTATATATCTCTATATCTCTATATATCTCTCTATATAGAGAGATATATATATCTATATATATCTCTCTATATATCTCTATATCTCTATATATCTCTCTATATAGAGAGATATATATATCTATATATATCTCTCTATATATCTCTATATCTCTATATATCTCTCTATATAGAGAGATATATATATCTATATATATCTCTCTATATATCTCTATATCTCTATATATCTCTCTATATAGAGAGATATATATATCTATATATATCTCTCTATATATCTCTATATCTCTATATATCTCTCTATATAGAGAGATATATATATCTATATATATCTCTCTATATATCTCTATATCTCTATATATCTCTCTATATAGAGAGATATATATATCTATATATATCTCTCTATATATCTCTATATCTCTATATATCTCTCTATATAGAGAGATATATATATCTATATATATCTCTCTATATATCTCTATATCTCTATATATCTCTCTATATAGAGAGATATATATATCTATATATATCTCTCTATATATCTCTATATCTCTATATATCTCTCTATATAGAGAGATATATATATCTATATATATCTCTCTATATATCTCTATATCTCTATATATCTCTCTATATAGAGAGATATATATATCTATATATATCTCTCTATATATCTCTATATCTCTATATATCTCTCTATATAGAGAGATATATATATCTATATATATCTCTCTATATATCTCTATATCTCTATATATCTCTCTATATAGAGAGATATATATATCTATATATATCTCTCTATATATCTCTATATCTCTATATATCTCTCTATATAGAGAGATATATATATCTATATATATCTCTCTATATATCTCTATATCTCTATATATCTCTCTATATAGAGAGATATATATATCTATATATATCTCTCTATATATCTCTATATCTCTATATATCTCTCTATATAGAGAGATATATATATCTATATATATCTCTCTATATATCTCTATATCTCTATATATCTCTCTATATAGAGAGATATATATATCTATATATATCTCTCTATATATCTCTATATCTCTATATATCTCTCTATATAGAGAGATATATATATCTATATATATCTCTCTATATATCTCTATATCTCTATATATCTCTCTATATAGAGAGATATATATATCTATATATATCTCTCTATATATCTCTATATCTCTATATATCTCTCTATATAGAGAGATATATATATCTATATATATCTCTCTATATATCTCTATATCTCTATATATCTCTCTATATAGAGAGATATATATATCTATATATATCTCTCTATATATCTCTATATCTCTATATATCTCTCTATATAGAGAGATATATATATCTATATATATCTCTCTATATATCTCTATATCTCTATATATCTCTCTATATAGAGAGATATATATATCTATATATATCTCTCTATATATCTCTATATCTCTATATATCTCTCTATATAGAGAGATATATATATCTATATATATCTCTCTATATATCTCTATATCTCTATATATCTCTCTATATAGAGAGATATATATATCTATATATATCTCTCTATATATCTCTATATCTCTATATATCTCTCTATATAGAGAGATATATATATCTATATATATCTCTCTATATATCTCTATATCTCTATATATCTCTCTATATAGAGAGATATATATATCTATATATATCTCTCTATATATCTCTATATCTCTATATATCTCTCTATATAGAGAGATATATATATCTATATATATCTCTCTATATATCTCTATATCTCTATATATCTCTCTATATAGAGAGATATATATATCTATATATATCTCTCTATATATCTCTATATCTCTATATATCTCTCTATATAGAGAGATATATATATCTATATATATCTCTCTATATATCTCTATATCTCTATATATCTCTCTATATAGAGAGATATATATATCTATATATATCTCTCTATATATCTCTATATCTCTATATATCTCTCTATATAGAGAGATATATATATCTATATATATCTCTCTATATATCTCTATATCTCTATATATCTCTCTATATAGAGAGATATATATATCTATATATATCTCTCTATATATCTCTATATCTCTATATATCTCTCTATATAGAGAGATATATATATAAAAATTGAAAAATGGACACTGACTTCAGATAACCTCCTGAATGTCAGCACACATACATACACTTAAGACAATTGTATATTATCTAATGGCTTCATTGTAGTTATTCCACTTTAAGGGCAACAATTAGGTGTGGCAATTATTATCCTACTCATGGAAGGAGTTTACAGGAATTAGTCCAGTGAGGTTAAATCAGAGCTGTTTCCAGACCCTGCTTTGCGAGATAAGCAGTACAAGGTCAGCTGCCCGAATCAGCATTTTAGCTACACTTTCAGTTAACTATTGTGGGATGTCAGATGTGAGTCCTATTTTGAGCTCTAAAAATAACTGAGGGAGGACCATGTATAACAAGTGTCCAATAAATTCTAATTAAGTATGGGTTTTATCTCCAATAACATGACTAAGACATTTATATAAAGAATTTTGGCCTTTAAAAAAAATCCAGATAACATTTCTGTGAATTTTTCTTTAGGAAGAAAATAAGTTTGAAGATGGAGAGTGTTGGCGGGAGGAAGTTTATATGTATTTCTTCTTT